AAAAATACTCAATTTGCAATGTAGTGAATTTTGTTAGACATTATAAAAACCTATAAAGAAGTGTTTTACTGTAGGAAACATATAAGGTCTGGTATTGCCTCAGGTAAAAGCCATATGGAAACAGCTTAATTAGAGACAGATCAAATTTTCAAGCAGTTCAAAAATATAGCAATTGTATAACTTTTCCAAGGTCTTCTTTGGGACACACCACACCTCACTGGACCCCAAATTCAAGGCCCTACCCATTCCAGTAGGAGCTCTGGTAGCGTAGTGACTAAGGCACTTGACTGCTAACCTGAAGGCTGGCAGATCAAACCCACCAGCCACTCCTTGAAAGGAAGACGGGGCAATCTACTTCCATAGTGATACTGTCTCGGAAACCGAAGGAGGGGTCGCTATGAGTCTGATCCGACTTGACGGCACACGACGACAACAACAACAACCCATTCCAGTAAGCTATCAATAGAGAGATATTTGAAGTATTAAAAAAGTTTCATTGTAAATAAGGGTGAGTGTAAGGGAATATGGGTAGAGAGTTCTCAAAGTCTGGTAAATATTCACAGAAAGGAACAGAAAAGCAAAGAAAACTAAAGAAGAGGAGCAGAAACCAGGCAATTGACCTGATAGTGCCCCCAATAACCTGCAATAGAGTGAAAGGAAATTTAGAGTAGAAATCTGAACATTCTCCTTTAATGTTCTCTCAGCTCATCTCTTCCTTTCAGTCCACATCCATTCCATCATCAAGCATTGTCAACTCTACCTATAAAGCATATCTGACCACACTCTCCATTTCAACACAACTCAAAGTGACCATTGTCTCTCACCCAGGCTACTGAAACACACTCCTAAATCCTTGCCTTCCAGTCTTGCTCTCCATACTATACTTAGAAGGGTCTTTTTAAAATATAAATCAAAATATGCACCCCTCTCCTTACTTAAAACTCCCAGAGACTTATCATGTCAATTAGAATGCAATTTATTGCATTTCTTTTCATTTTGAACTGACTACTCCAAAATAGGAAAAAAGTCAAATATCGTGAAAGATGCTGACTTGGAGCTGACTCAGATCTTGTAAGATTCAATATATACATATTTAGATATGCACAACATTCTGCAAACTCTAGTTTCAGACTAGGGCTGAGCCCACTATTATTTTGCAGACTTTGTTCCAACAGCTTCACTCATATTGACTAATTGAAGTTCCACTAAAGCTTATGAAGTATGCAATTTTATGGTCCTCGTTTTTTAGATAAAGAGACCTAGGAAGGGATATGGTGAATAACTTGGCTAGAGTGACAGAGATAGTAAGTAAAGTTAGAATTTTTCAAGCTGATATGCTCTATTGCCTTTTGGGATTTATTAGGCTAATGAAAAAAAAATAAGCAAACTCACTGCCAGTGAGTCGATTCAACTCATGGAGATCCCTCCTTGTGTTTCAAAGGTGGTATCTCTATGGAAG